TTTCTATTTGCTTTTTTAGACCTATCCTCACTACTCCTTCTGAGCATGTACCTAGTTCCTAAAACACATTTTATTTCCTGCTTACAGCCCTGTAGTTTCTTCAGGTGTTTTTAATTAACAATTACAGTTTCTCTTTACAGCATTCTGTAATTCTGAAAATGTAGATTGGTGGATATGTATGCACACTGTTAGAAAATTTTAGTATAGTAAGAAGCACCTGTCTTGTTCTCTGATCTATTATATATACTCTCATTCTAATATTAGTGCAGTAAGAAGCACCTGTCTTGTTCTCTGACCTGTTAGGTACACACATTCTAATATTAGTACAGTAAGAAGCATCTGTCTTGTTCTCTGACCTGTTAGGTACACACATTCTAATATTAGTACAGTAAGAAGCAGCTGTCTTGTTCTCTGACCTGTTAGGTACACACATTCTAATATTAGTACAGTAAGAAGCAGCTGTCTTGTTCTCTGACCTATTAAGTACACACATTCTAATGATTATTCTTTAGTTTGAATTCCTGAAGCAGTTTTTATGCAAGATGTAGCTGAGCCTCAGAAGAGCTCTGTAACAAACACAAAAAGCCTTATAGCACATTTCTGTTTATTTCTAGCACCATATGAAGCAGGAATTTGGAAAGTACGAGTTGATTTACCAGAAAAGTACCCATTCAAATCTCCTTCCATAGGTATGTAGCAATTGATATTGTTGATCTTTTGCATATTGAATCTAGTAGGAATAGTACTACTAATCACTGTTGAATTACTGAATTATTACATTACAAGCTTACACATGTAGGTTTGAGTCAGTGTCCAAGTTTTCTGATTATTATTAAGTTGAACACACTTTGTGATTAGTGCTCTGTGTTTTAAGGTGACCAAGTTTTGTGGTTAGTTTGGTGTATTAAGTTGACCAACCTTTGGGTGAGTATTAAATTGACAAAGATTTGAAGTTATTATTCTTTGTACTAAGGTTAAATATTCTTAATATGTAAAGCAATTAGGTATTTTAGTAAATTATGCCAACTTCATTTATGACAGTGTTAAACTAACCAAATTATGCTGACTTCATTTATGACAGTTTAAACTAACCAAATAATGCTGATTTCATTTATGACAGTTTTAGTTTAAACAGTGTCGTAAATGAAGTCAGCATAATTTAGTTTAAACAGTGTCACAAATGAAGTCAACATAATGTGGTTAGTTTAAACAGTGTTGTAAATTACGTCAGCATAATTTAGTTTACATTGTGTTGTAAATGAAGTCAGCATAATTTAGTTTACACAGTGTCATAAATGAAGTCAGCATTATTTGGTTAGTTTAAACTTATGCTGACTTCATTTACGACACTCTTTAAACTAAATTATGCTGACTTCATTTACGACACTCTTTAAACTAAATTATGCTGACTTCACTTACGACAGTTTAAACTAACCACATTATGCTGACTTCATTTGTGGCACTCTTTTAAACTAAAATATGCTTACTTCATTTATGACACTGTTTAAACTAGCCAAATTATGCTGACTATATTTATGACACTGTTTAAACTAAAATATGCTGACTTCATTTATGATACTGTTTAAACTAACAATCTCACACTGACTTTATTTGTGACACTATTTAAACTAACCAAATTATGCCTTATTTGTGACACTCTAAACTAACCAAGTTGTGGATTTCACTTATGACACTGTTTAAACTAACCAAATTATTCTAACTTCATTTGTGACACTGTTTAAACTAACAAATCTCACACTGACATCATTTGTGACTGTGGTTCTCAGGTGGGTTGTGGAAAGGTTGTATAATGATCGATAGGAAGCATACTCTTTGGATCTCTGTGTGGTCCACTGAAATATAATAAACAGATGGTCCGAGAACAAAAGCTGAGAACTACTGACCTATGACATTGTTTAAACTAAAAAAACTTATGCTGATTTACTTTGACATTATGCATCTAACTAAAATCTCCTTTGACTTTGTAATTGTGAGGTTTCATTTTTTAGTTTTGTTTTTAAGAAAATTAAAGTATATCACAAAATATGTTGCTTTCATTTTTTTACATTGTATTTAATACAAAAACTGAACATATAAAAGGCTTTTATAAATACATGTTTCAGGTGTTTTTATCAAAAGTTTCTTATAATTTTTTACTATCTTCACAGGGTTTATGAACAAGATATATCATCCAAATATTGATGAAGTGTAAGTATCTCAGTTATTCTTATTTTATTGGATTATTTGTTTTTCCAAGTTACAGGTACATGATTTGTTTTTTATTTTTGACAAGAAAAAAAAAATCTATTGTGTTAATTCATCTAAAAGATTTATTATTTACTTGTTACATGTTTTTTTTATTATCTTTTAAATTCTCATTGGCTCCTTTCATTTCTTGTCTGTTTATTGGTGGCAAAACATCAAAGATGATTTGCCATAAAAATTGTTTAAATGTTGCTAATATTGCTTTTAGTGGTATTTAATTAATAATTTTGTTGATTATTTATGTGTCACTCACATACGTTTTTTAACTGAATTATAGTTGGCTGTTTCCAAATGGGATTTTAGTAAGTTTGTGAACTTTGACTACTTTTTCATAGGGTGGGGGAGATGTAGTATCTTCAAAATTATAATTTTTAAAACATGCAACTTACTTGCTTTTTATGCTCATTTTTGTGACTGATATAAGAACACAATGAATAAGGTGGTAGAAAATTCCTTTGCCATTCACATATTAAGGAAATTATAAAGGTTTAAGTTACATAAGAGTTGTATAATTCACTCTTAAGTTTATATTTCTTAGTTAGAAGTAGTTTTATTAAAGTTTAAATCTGGAGTTATGGTATTTATTGAATCATCCAAGGTAAGATTGTTCAAATTACTGTCCATTCTAAAGACTTGATTCAAGTTGCTTATAGTTCCTTTATCCAGAGGATACAAGTTCATATTTGTCTTTTTTATATCTCAAGTCTCCTGAACAGCAAATTATTTTCATAATTACTTCTGCCACCAAAAAGGAGGTTATGTTTTCACCCCTGTGTGTGTGTTTGTTAGCAAGATTTCTCAAAGGGATGAATGGATTTGGATGCAAGTTGGCATACATTTGTAATATGACCCAACTTAGAAGCGATTAGGTTTTTTTTGTCTAGGTCAAAGGTCAAGGTCACAGCAAGGTTACAAAAAAAACCAAAAAAATCACTAGCTATTAACATGGGAACCAATTTTTCACATGATTTTTGCTCTATAACTCAATCAAAAATGATCAGATTTGGGAGAAACGGTGTACATATTTAGAATATTATTCCTCATTGTCCTGCCAAATATGGTCTGTTTCTGTTGATAATGATGGACATGCAGACAGATTTTTGTATTTTTTGAAAGCTGTATATGATTAAAGTGGAGGTATACACTTTCCTGAGTGCCTTCTAGTGTTTTCATTCTGTCTTTATCCTTCCTGTAATGAAAGAAGCAAAACTGGTATCTCTCTAAACTAGAATATATCTAATAAAGAATTTAGGTTTGAAGCTATGAAATATAAAGTATAACTTAGTAAACAGATTAGAATATCACGAATCTCAATAGTGAATTAATTGTCTCATATACATATTGCTTATAATTAGAGGTTTGATATCAGCACAAAAACAAAGTATCAACCAGTCAGAACTACCATATTGTCATGTTCATACCCACTACCAGACTACAGCATAGTTCCAGCACAATAACAAAGTATCAACCTGTCAGAACTACCCTATTATCATGTTCACACCTACTACCAGATTACAGCATAGTTTCAGTCAGAACTCCCCTGTTGTCATGTTCATACCCTACCCTATTAGTTTCTATGTTAATATCCACTACCGTGTTGGTTTCCATGTTGATATCCACAACTGTTTGCTGTGTTCTATCATACCTCAATAATAGTGTGCCTAGATAACGTATAACAAAATGTCCACTTTATAACACACCAGTGTAGTATAAGTTTCTGTTTGCTATCGTACCTCAATAATAGTGTACCTAGATAACGTATCACAAAATGTCTACTTTATAACTCACCAGTGTAATATAAGTTTCTGTTTGCTGTGTTCTATCTTACTTCAAAAATAGTGTGCCTATATAACGTAGAACAAAATGTCCACTTTATAACTCACTGGTGTAATATAAGTTTCTAACTATTTGCTGTGTTCTATCTCAGCTCAGGAACAGTGTGTCTAGATGTCATCAACCAAGCTTGGACTGCACTGTATGGTAAGAATGTTGCTTTGATTAATTACACATTTGTATGTCATAAGCTGTAGCCATCTAAAATCTCTACTAAACTAAATTGTCAAAATATGTTCGTTTCGACAAAGAACAGGTTTAAAGAATCACCTGACACAAAACGTAATAAGTCAGTTTACATGGTTATGCTTAAATGCACATAAATTTACATGAAAAATATATTTAAATATATGTATATATATATTACATGTACAGATAATTATAGAACTTTATAAGATTTGGAATTTTAGCTTTTTAAAAAAGTGTGGTGTTAACATTTTTTGGGGTTCTTCTTATTTGCTTACTTTAGATCTGTCCAACATCTTTGAGTCATTCCTTCCTCAGCTGTTGACATATCCAAACCCTATTGATCCTCTAAATGGTGATGCTGCTGCAATGTATTTACACAAACCTGAAGACTATAAAAGGAAAGTTCAAGGTAGGAAGGTTAATATCTTAGATACAAAAAAAACCCTGATTAGTTTTTTTTATTTAGCTTCTAGAATAAATCTTGTATGTTTTAATGAGGAATCTGATGTCATAAAGTTATTAGGTTACTTGTATTGCGGTTTGTAACCTACAAAATTAATCACAGAGTTCATTTGATTGAGATACCCTCAGTTTTCTTTTTATGCAGCCTTACTAAAGATCTTAAAAGTATAGTGGAAAACTACATCACATTCACCTAAGATGTATTCCAGTAGGTATGAATTTTTTGTGTTCCTTGATGTACCCTTGTGTGCAGTAAAGATGTGAAATAGTAAACTGTTTCAATATTTACAACAAAGGAACACACGTAGATAATATTTTGGTTTATAAATGCATTTCAACTGTAAATGTAGCTAAGCTTCATGAATGGAGCTTGCTCTTCTGGTTTTATGCACAGGGCAGGTTTACTGGTGATTATATAAACATTGTTACGACAGCATGGGTCATGTGACGCTAGTAACGCGTCATATTCTCGAAGGTTCGTGAATCCTCGAGTGTTTACTAGATTTGCGGTATTCTTGTATATATAAGACCGCCAAGAAGTGATGGCACCAATGTAGTTGAATTGCAGAAAGAGATACAGACGACAATTGAGCCAAGCACGTGAATCGTTCATTCGTTGTGAATTATAGCGTTTGTTATATCGTGACTGTGGAAATTAAGTGTATGGAACTCAAAATCAGTCCGAAGTCTACAGGGCTAGGTTTAGGACGAGAGTCCGTGCTAAAGGGGAGAGCCTGCAAGAGCTAGCACAGGATTTGGAAAGTATGGCACACAAGGCCTACACAACTGCAGCACCCGATGTCCTCAAGTTGTTGCTGATGGATCAGATTGTAGATGCATTGGACAGTCCACAACTGAAAATACAAGTAAAGCAAGCACACCCCTCTACCATGCAGGATGCAATGGCCAGAGCTCTTGAATTTGAATCTTACATTAAGTCCAGCACATAGGTACCAAGATTGGTACAGTCATCAGGATTCAAGGCCAGAAAACGACAGCTTTCAGAGAAGTTTGAGGGATTTTGCTGGCACTGTAATAAACCTGGGCACAAGAGAGTTAAATGCTGGCAACTTCAACACAGGGGAGTTGCCACAGCAGGAAAGGCTGCTACCCAGAAAGATTGTTGGAACTGTGGAGAGCAAGGACATATGAGGAGCCAGTGTAAGAAGAATACCACCAGCTTTGGGAAACCAGTAGTGGTTGGTGCTGAGGGACACCCACCAACCCCCATCGTGAAAGTTCCAACAGCTAGGTGTAAAGTGCCAAGCACACATAGTGTCTACGTGACAGGAAAGCTGGATGGCCAAAAGTGCAACTTTGTCATAGATTCTGCATCTCAGCAAACCCTTGTGAGTATCAAGATGCTGGATCATAAAGGAGTACCAGAAGTCATACAGAAGCATTGTGGTGTGACAGGACATTCTGCAAGGTTGTGGGGACCAGTATGGGTAACTATTGAGCTCATGAGCTTAAAGGACGGACACAAAGTATACTTGGCTGACATTGAAG